TTATAGGTGAGAGGCGGGAACCAATTGGTAACGTGGATCGCGTGCGTGAAGTCGGCGCGGAGGCTGCCTACGATTGATGCCTCTTAACTCATCTGTATCCTATTCCCCATCCTTCCTAACAGCGATGCCTAATAAATCGTCTGCAACCAACTTTCTCTTAAATCCTGAGAACCTGGCACCAGAGGGTAGACAGGCGGTAACCACACTGGACTACAGTCGCCTCAGAGATAGCACTACATGTTCTGATATTCTACCTGCCGTGCAACAGATTGAATTAGTAGCTGTGGTGGAGGGAATCGCTGGTGATGGTGGAAGGAATGTGGCCTCTCGACTGTAATTGCACGAAGATGCACAACAATCTGTGCGGTTCGAGACGCCGTCGTTTTGAGGGACCGATGAGCCTTGTGGTGGTGGTGGACGCATAGTCGCTAATGTTGAGGCATCTGATGCGCATAGACTGATCCGAGGCGATTCTCCATTTTTTTAAGCAGGTGTTCGTCGTTTATTTGTTGGGGAAAGAGTGGGTGGGAGCATTTGATGCAGACGTATTTTTGCAGGTGCACCTCTTCGCCCATTGGCACAGCATGCAGTGCACTGCGACGTCCCGATGTGGAGGTGAAACAATCGAGTGCTCTTTTATTCGCGAAAGACTAACTCTGTTGTCAATACGCATTTGTACATTTTGCCAATGGACTAGACAAGCAAGAGATGAAATGAAGCAGCCAGAACTTGTGAATTACAGTGATTATACAAGAAAATATCGTTATTGCTTCTTCACAAACGCGACTCGCCGTGATGGGCGGTAGAGTAAATGGCTGCCTTCTGTGTCAATTGCGGAAGCGCATTGTCTTCACAACGTGATTCCGTCCAATCCGACCAATCAACGCCCACTCCCTAACAATAGCAAGAACCGTTTCTCCTCTTTGACCGGTTGCTGCCCCCATTAACCGAGTGCGCAGCAAATACGCAAACACCTTTATCGTTGCATTAGTGGTGAACCACAGAAGATCCCAACAATCGCATTGTGGTGCTGTAGCCCTTCCAAGTGCACAATTTGCATAGTTCTGCTGGTCGACAGTCCCCTTCACAACGGTGATGCTTTGTGTCGCTGTTGCAGCTGCAGTACGACAACAAGGTGAATGTCCAAAAGTGTGTTGGTGTGGGGAGGTGTGGTGAGATGCGAAATGCTGTGAATCGCTGACTACATTCGTGCGCCGACTGCTGCATTGGACTTTATCCATGCAAAAGTGTCAATCCACGAGTCCAACCACCTCCATTGCGGGGGTGTTGACACGTCCGCCTGCAAACACCACACCCTTCTCGCCTCTCAGAGCGAGAAATGAAGAAGTGGTTGTCACAATGCCATTTTCTCGTATTTATTAGTTGGAAAATTGACAGATGACACAAAGTGCGGAAAGGTTTGTTTACGAGTAGAGTCGAGCACTGTGGGAAGGAAACGACGTCTGCTTCTCGCACACCTGTAGTGAAACAGATTGTCTCAAATATACGAATCCTGCAATGCCTCATATCAGATGTCAGCAGTGCGTACGCACTTGCGCGTTGGACGAAGCAAGGCTGCCACTGCACCAGGTTTCACGTTCGTCGCTGTTTTTTCTTTATTGCATTGCCTGCAGCAAAACAATGACATTAACAACATCAGCAAGAGGATAAAACTAACGCTGCCGTTAAACTGCTTAGTG